TTAAAATTATGCTTCCATCTACACTGCATTCATCAGTTATCTCTCTGGAGATGGATAGTACTCTTCATCATGAGTCCTTGGGAATCCTTGTGGGTAATTGTATCAGTCAGAGTAGCTGAGTCTTTCACAGTTGACCATTGTTAGACTACTGCTGTTATTGTGTACAATGATCTCCTGCTTCTGCTCATTTCACTTTGCCTCAAATATATCACTCTTCTCATTTCTTATATGTGCTTAAGAAAGTTCAACTTGGTGACTGAGTATAGGATGGATTGGAATAGGGAGAGACTTGAGGAAGGTAGACTAATTAGGAGCCTATTGCAGTAGTCCAGGTGAGACATGATAAGAAACTGAACTAATATTGTGGTTATGTGAAAGCAGAAAAGGAAACATAGAGGAGAACTGTTGTAAAGGTAGAAATGAGATGGAGTGAATATGTGTGAGGAGTCCACGGGGCAACGAGGTGGCACAGTGGATAGAAATCCTGCTTTGGAGCCAGGAGGACCTGAGTTCAAATCTGGCCTCAAACACTTGACTAGCTGTGTGACCCTGGGCAAGTCACTTAACCCTGAGAGCTTCACCAAAAAGTAAAAAAAAAAAATGAGGAGTCCAGGACGTTATTGAGATTGTAGGATTGGGTGAATAGGAGGATGGTAGTGCCTGTGCCCTCAGTGGTATCAGGGAAGTCTGAAAGAGATTGTGATTTTTGGAGGGGGCGAGGAAAGATAATGAGTTCTACTTTGAACATGTTGAATTTGAGGGGCACACGGGAAATCCACTTCAAGATGTGCAAAAGAAGTACCTCAGAAGCAAGACTTGAGATTGATTGATAGATCTTGGAATCCTCTGTATAAAGAACATAATTGGATTGATGGGAGCTGGTGAGAGAGTATGGAGGGAAAAGAGAATTGGGCTCAGCACAAAGCCTGGGGTAATGCCTAAAGTTAGTGGGCATGACATGGATAAAGAACCAGCAAAAGAGACTGAGGTGTAGCCTATTAGGATAGAGGAGATAAGGAGATAGCAATGTCAAGAAATCCTAAATATCAACCTGAGTACAGGAAGACTCCTGAATATTCAGGAGAAATCAACAGCATCAGATATTTCAGAGAATGAGGATTAAGAAAAGGCCATTATGACATTTGTCAAATAAGAGATTATTAGTAACTTTGGAGAGGGCAGTGGATGATCAGGTTGGAAAACAAATTCCAGAGGGTTCAAAAGGGAGAGGAGAGGAAATGAGCATCAGATCTTGACAATGGAGGCTTTCTCAAGGAGTCTCAAGATTGATAATGACCTTGGAACTGCTTAATCTAATTTGTCTTTAAAATAAATCCTGACCAGTGATTTTATTAATATAGGGAATAGCCTGCTAATGATACTATAGCAGTAATAACTACTAATATAGTTTGGCAATTACTCTGCAACTTACAGTATTAAAGTGTTACCTGGGGCATTGAGAAGATAAATGCCTTGTCCAGGGTTACATAGCCAACTTGAACCCATGTCCTCGTGGCTCTCTCTCCACTATATTATATGCTGCCTCTCTCCAATGGCTTTTTTTTTTCTCAGATGTCCTCCCTTGGCCTTCCTATAGTATGTAATTACCTTTACCACCTTAACCTTCTTCCTTTGCTTTCATTAAACCTTCCTGTCTTCATTCTCTTCCTAACTAGGATGATAAGATCTAGTCAGTCAGCCTCTTGATGAGGGTGAAAGAGGAGAGTGTAAAAGCTGGCTTGAAGCTTAACATAAAAAAAAAAATCAAGATGTTGGCAACTGGTCCCATCACTTCCTGGCAAATAGAGGGAGAAGAAATGGAAACAGTGTCAGATTTTATGTTCTTGGGCTCAAAGATCACTGCAGACAGTAACTGTAGTCAATGAAATTAAAAGACACTCCTTGGAAGGAAAGCTATGGCAAATCTGGACAGCATACTAAAAAGCAGAGATATCACCTTGCTAATAAAGGTCCATATAGTCAAAGCAATGTTTTTTCTAGTAGCAATGTGTGGCTATGAGAGTTGGATTGTAAGGAAAGCTGAGCACCGCAGAATTGATGCTTTTGAATTGCGGTGCTGGAGAAGACTTTTGACAGTCCCTTGGACGGTAAGGTAATCAAATGAGTCAATACTTTAAGAAATTGATTCACATCATTCACTGGAAGGTCAAATACTGAAGATGAAGTTTAAATACTTCGGCCACATAATGAGAAGACTGGACTCATTGGAAAAGATCCTGATATTGGGGAAGATTGAAGACAAAAGGGAAAAGGGACGGCAGGGGATAAGATGGATAAATGGTATTTTGGAAGCCAAGAATAAGCTTGGACAGACTTAGAGAGATCATGGAAGATAGAAAAGCCTGGCATGTGATGGTTCATGGGGCCATGAAGAGTCAGACATGACTGAACAACAGGAAGCATCTACTCTGTGCTGGACACTATGTTAAAGTGCTGGGGATACAAAAAGAGGCAAAAGATAGTCCCCCAGCATCGATTACTGGGGGTCTAGAGCTAAAATGAGGCTTAGTTCATTATGGAGCCCAGCCTCTGATTTTATAGATGAGGAAACTGAGGCCCAGGGAGAATGTGTGAATTTGTGCCCAAATTTCCACAGTTAGTAAGTGGCAAAGCTTCAACTGATGTCTTTGATTCCAAATCCAGAGTCCTTTCTACTGAGCCACAGCTTTCTGACCGTTTCTTGGCAACCTTTACTGGCTCCTGTCCCTTAAGTATCAAGGGTTCCCAAGGTTATGACCAAGGACTGACTCTTTTGTTAATCTTATCTATTCTGACATGACTGAATGAATTCTGACATGAATGAAAAAGCGTTGATTCTATATATGCTTAGTATGTGCCCAGCACTGTGCTAAGCCCTAGGGGTACAAATAGAAAAGTGAAGACAAGCTACTGTCCTCAAGGGGGAGACAACACATACAGGGCAGTGGTGACTAGTGAGAACTATTTTGGTTTGGAAGGTTACATGGATGGTGAGTGGGTAGTAGGTGGATACAACCTTTCCCTGAGCAATGGCAGTATTGATTTGAATATGGTTCCAGTACTGGAATGGAGGAAGAGGGAAGTGGGAAGGGCAGCTGGAATAAGGCTTAGAGCACTCACCAATCTTTCCTGTCCATCTTTGAGTACTACTAGTTACAGGGACATCCTGTTGGCATCTCAAACTCAATACGTCCAATATGGAACCTATCACCTTCTCTTCCCCACCCCAAACCTGCTCTTCCTCCAAAATCCCCTATTTCTATAGATGGTATAACCATCCTTCCAGTTACCTGAGCCTAAAATTTGATTTGTTTTTCACACCATTCATTTCACCAGTTGCAAATTCTGTGGTTTCTATCCCTCTTCAGTTGATTTCACTTACCATCCTCCTTCTGGCTCCCATCACCTCTCACTTGGACAACTGTAACAACTTCTTAGCAGATCACCCTATCTACTCCATCCTTTGTCACCCATGTATTCTTCCCAATAAAGACTAAGTGACATCAAAGATTTTCTGGGAAGGGCCTTGGAACTTGAGCAAGGGAAAACTGGGTTGAAATTCTGCCTCTGCTACTTACTAGTTAGTGTGACCAGGGGCAAGTCTATTCATCTTTTTGAGCCTCAATTTCCCCAAATGAGGATAATAATAATGCTTGCTCTGATCCTTCTTGCTTGAGGCCTGTATTATTATTGTTATTTCCAAATGTAGCTTTTTGTGCTCTAAAATGTCAGCCATTTTAATGAATATATTCTGGTTCCAATTTTTCCTCCACTGAGAAATCTTCAGCAGCCTCCTATTACCTCAGCCTTTGTCCAGGCTGTCTGTCCCCTGTTCCTGGAATGCCCCCTCAGAGGCAGCATTGTGTTTTATTATTATTATTAATTAATTTCTTTTGAATTATCAACCATCACTTCCATAAGCTTTTGAGTTTTAAATTTTTCTCCTCCTCCCTCTCCAGAGGCAGCATTGTTGATGGAAGGATGCTGGATCTGGGGTCAAAGAACTTAAGGTGGAATTTTGACTCCCATGCTTCTGACCTGAGAGACAGTGGGCAAGTCTTTTCCCTTCTATGGGCTTCAGTTTCTCATCTGTTTAAAAAAAAAAAAGGAAGTTAGATTTAGATGACTTCCTTAGAGGTACCTCCTAGCTCTAAGAGAATGACCCTCTGATCCTAATGGAAATCTTACGTGCCCTTCAAGGCCCAGTTCACATAGCACTCACTACCTTCTTGAAATCTTCCGGTTGAAAGCTACTTCTCCCATTTTAGAGTCCCCAGAGTACTTTTGCTATATCTCTACTGCACTTAGCATGTTCAGTTCTCTATTATATTCGTCTTTGCCTTAATCTTATCATCCCCCACCCTCGAAATCTGTGAGCACTATGGAGGCAAAGTCTAAATCTTGTCTGCTCCTCAGTGCCTAGCAGAGAGTATGGACTTAATAATTTATTTTTCATTGCCTTCATGGGAACTGTTGATCTTGGTATGTAGCTCGCTAGACCCTAGACCGTTCGTTCCCTGTTCTTAGGTCTGGCATCTCCAGACTTTTCATCATCGGAGGATACCGTAACGGGGAGCAGGGGAGGGGTTCTGTCAGCCTCCCAGGTAGAGAGACACGTTCTTGGCTCTCCAGAGCCCTCGCTCCTGGTTCCCTCTGCCCAGTTCTGAGGCTTGACAGACCCCACCTCCGGGGCGGGGAGCACGGTCCCTTTAAGTGCCTGCCATGCCCGCCCCTGGGCCCACCGCCCCGGTCCGCGGCCCCGGCCCCAAGTCCGGAGCTACCGCACCGGCGTTGGCTCTGCAGGGCCGGAGGCGGCCCCGGCCCCGCGCCCCCCTCCTCGTCCCCTTCCCCCTCCCCTCCCCTCCCCTCCCTTCCCTTCCTCCCCGGGCTCGGAGGGAGGCGCGCGCGCGGGCTCGAGCCAGCGGTGCTCCCCCGCCCTCCCCTCCAGCCCCCGCCCCAGCGGCGGCGCCCGGCCCGGGGCCAGCTGCAGCCGCCACCCGCCCTCCGCCGCCGTCGCGCGCGCCCCGGGCCCCGGCCCCCGGCCCAGAGAAGCGCCGCCTGCTTCGTCCTCCTCGTTCTCCTCCTCCTCCGCGCCGGGCCCGGGACATGCGGCCTCGCCTCCCCCCGCCGCCGCCGCCGCCGCCGCCGCCGCCGCCGAGGAGCCCGAGCCGGGGGAGATGAGGCTCCGCCATGGCACCTTCCTGACGCTGCTGCTCGGCTGCCTGTGCGCCTTCCTCTCGCTCTCCTGGTACGCGGCGCTCAGCGGCCAGAAAGGTAAGGGACGAGGCAGGCGCCCACCTGCCGCCCCGCCGTGCCCGCCTGCACGGGCGGCCCTCCTTGACTGGCACCGCTGCCCCGGCTCTGCCCAGGCACCCCGTTGCTGCGCGCAGGGCGCGCGCCTCTGGGGTCCCGCAGCCCCTGCCCTGGACAGGGGGTAGGGACGAAACTACGCGGGCGGACCCTCCCTCCGCTCTGCATCCTCTTCCTCGCTGGCACCCGGGCGAAGGCAGAAGGGGTCGTTTCTTTCACAGGGCGCACGAAGATTTGGCTGGGTAGGGGGCCTGGAGCGCCCTGGGGCTCGGCCCATCCTCCCCCTCCTTAGGCCGTAGGGGAGGCGTTCTCTAAAAGGTACTGCCTAGGTCGGGGGCCACCTGGCTGGGGTCAGGAAGCCCAGCCTGTCTCCCAGCGTCCCTCCGGCCAGGGCTAGCCTTCGCATGTCCTAGCTTGGCACGTTCCCTGGGTGGCCACAGACTCCCCGATCCTTTTCCTCTGCCCCGGCTCTGTCCTTAAGGCAAACCCTTGTTTCTTTAGGGTCTGTATGGGGCCCTTGCCAGGGCTGAGGCAAGAGCTGTGGGAGGCTGAGAAGAGCCGAGGGAGGTGGCTCTGAACAGTGGCTCATCTATATCCAATTTGCCTGTAAATGCCCTTAGGCAACCCTTCTCCCTTTTGCCTCTTCTGGATTACCCTTAGCTTCCTTCCAAGCACAACTCACCTGGTGGGAAAGAGGCGGGATACCTTGCGATTGATTGTACCACTTGTCTCCCCCCTCACCCCAACGACCAGGGCCAGAAAGGTGGGTCATTTGCCCTCAACATTTCCACCTCCCCCACTTCCTCCCCCCAAAAGCAAAAACCGTAGGATTTCTCTACTGTTCTTCCAGGTGATCCCTAGGGCTAGCCTGGCTTCTGCTCTGACTGTACTCTGTGCTTCCTCCCCTTTTTTCAAGGGTACTTGGAGGGCACCTCTTTGTCTCTCTGCCCTCCTTCAAGGCTAGCTCCTGAGGACCAGTTCTGGTATTAGAGGTGTAAAGGGCAAGCACCTGGAAAGCTAGATCTTTGGGACAAGATTACTCTGGATCAGCCATGACTTAATAGTAAAGATCCTACCTACTTGTTCTGTCTTTCATTTCTTTTATGCCAGGACAGCCCTGAGGTAGAGAACTTAACCTGAGTCCCGGTTCCCCCAGCTCACTGCTTCCACCCCAGTCAACTTCCCTCTGCCCATTCTCCACTCTCTTCAGGCTGGTGGCTGAGGAAGAGTCTGTGGGACTCATTACCCAGCCCTGTTCCCCTCCTCTTGGCCCCCCTTCCCCATGTTTATGTCTTTTTGTCTCACCCCTCCCCTGAGGGGGTGTGGGAAATATCTGCTGGAGTGTGTGTGGGGGGAGTCCTTTGGGAATCAACATGGCCGCTGATTCAAGGGTTAAGTTCTTCCATCTGGCTGATTCCTGCTAGGGGCCATTGGGCCATCTATCCTGGGAGGAGCTTCAAAGGGATCCCAGGACCCACTTTCCCTTTTTCTAAACACTGTCTTCAGAGCCTTTCCCTTTGGTAAGTCTGAGGTTGTTACATCAAGGGGCAGGGACTTACTTTCTTCTCCTGTCTCTGATCAGTATCCTGGCCCTGAACTTGAAGATATGCTTATAGAGGAATCTCTAAGCTATCAGACAACTAAGGCATGGCACTCTACTAAGGGCATCACTGGGCAAAGATTATCCCTTGACCAGCCATCTTGTACATTTTTAAATGGCCCATTATTGACCCTCTTAGGAAGGATCCCATAGCATTACTGACCTTCTGGTCTGCTTACCTGCCCTATCTCTTCAGAGCCATCCTTCTCAGCTGTCCCTCAGCTGTGATAATTTCTTTGGGCTGTCTTCTGGCCTTGAACATATTCTTAGACCTGGAGAGATACAATACTATAGTGGATTGGCCTCTGGTCTTAAAATCAGGAAGACCTGGGTTTACATCCCTTCTTACTAGACACATTAGCTGTGTGATCCTAGAGAAGTCACCTTATGTCTCTGGGCCTCTGTTTCCTTATCTGTAAAATGAAGAGGATGGACCTCCAAGGTCCCTAAGCCTCTTCTAAATCTATGATCCTATGATCTGGTACTCTGGCACTTTATTTGATGATATTTAGAATTGTAGAGAGTCTGTGTGGCATAGATGATAGGGCTCATCTTGGAATCAGTAGGACCTGGAGTCAAGTCCTGCCTCTGACCTATGCAAGCAGCTAAACTTCTCAGAGTCATCCTCCTCACCTCTCTTAAGGTTATAAAGTTAAAGATGAGTAACAGATCTGCTTCAGTAGAGGGAAGGGAATACACTGTATCTCCTGCCATTGCAAAATCCCAGGTTCACACCAAAGGTATATAGGAGTGTATTTCCAAACCTTAGTATAAGATGTAGGCTCAGAAATGTGCCTCCACCCCACCCCCCATCCCCCAGAGTACTGAGTGATCCACACTCTTATGCTTTCCTCTTTGTAGACACTGGCAGGAATTGGAGCACTGCCTGGGCTCTGGGCTGTAGCCAGGGTTTTTGTAGGGTGGGGGCATTTAGTGTGTGGCTCTTGGGGGTTTTTTTGGGGGGTGGGGGGCAGTGGTGAACTGGCCTCCTTTTCAGCCTATAAGATCTCCCTGGCAATAACCTGTAGGGCATATTTTCTCATTCTCCTTGAGCCAGGAGGAAGCTCCGTGGGTCATTCTGAGGCCTCAGGTTTTTCCCCTCTCTCAGGTCTTCGCTTAGCCTGTGTTGATTTCTACCAGGTCAGAAGACAGCTTGGAGGAGAGGTCTATGATGTAGTTTGTTTCCTGTATCTCTATGCCAGCCCCAAAGAGGCCCTTGTGAGGGGCTAAACTCAGGGGCTACCTCCTCTAAGAACCCTTCCTTGACTCTTCCCTCCCCCTAAAATGAAATCTCCTTAAATGTGTACTGATGTTTTTCCTGACCTTCTCTTTGGGGCTTAATATCTTTATTTGTGTACATATTCTTCTTCCTATTCTATTGTACACTCGAAAGCAGGCTCTATCTCTCTGGTGCCTAGTACCGTGTCCTTTATGTAACAATAGGTCATGGGCTCATAGGATTTAGAACTGGAAGCAACCTTACACATCATTCTATCCTTCCATTCCAGTTCTGCCCCCTCCCCCCATTTTAAGGATGAGGAAACTGAGGACCAAGAAAAGAAAAGTGACATGCCCACAATCACAGCAGTATTACCTGGCAGAATGAAGAAGCTCTTCAGACTCTAAACATAGTGTTTTTATTATTCCTAGATTTTCCAGTCAATCTAATTTGTTTATTTACTTGAATCTGGAGGGTACTGTGGCCATGGGGGTTGTGAAGAGATCACTCTGTGACTGAGCCATACCAGGGTCCCCTCCCCTTCCCTACTCCCCAGCTTGGACTATGGGGATTATCTAGTCATCCTCTGTTGAGGTGGGGGAGAGGTAGCTGTGATTGTCCCAGAGTGTGTAGAAATTGCATTTTACCTGCTCACAGCTTAGTAACTGTTTGCCCAATGAATGAATTTCTATGAAGAGTTTTCCCTTTATTTCTCTGACCCCGCCCAGAGCTCAGCCTGGCCTGGCCTCACCCCAACCGGCTCTGCCTGTGTTATGTAAAACAGCACTTGATCCCTAATCAGATCTTCCACATCCCTCCCACACTCTCTCTCTCTCTCTCTTCCCCCCCCCCCCATTCTGCCTCTCTGGGACTGTCCCAGGAGAGCAGGGGAAAGAAAAGGACAAACCCAACTTCTGGGGCAGTGGAGAGTGGCTTTCTACTCATGGATCTGGCTGTATATGGGCTCAAGTGTGCCAGTGTCATACATGGGCCAGCCTGGGTGTCCAAGAGAAAGGTGCCCCTGCCAGGGAGAGGGGGGAGTTTGGGGCCTTGGGGTTGGCTCTGGTTTTCGGCTGGGGCCTTAGATTAGGGGTGGGGGTGGGGTGGGAGGGAAGGCAAGCCAGGGAAAGAGTTTCCTCATCTATCACACTGGTTGGGGGTGGGACCATGTGGAATTTGGGGATGAGGGAGAGGCCTGGTACTTAGTAGTGGTGGGCAAGAGGATCTCCCACCCTCAGCCCACCTAACCTCCGGATGAGGCTGAAGGGCCTTCCTCTGCTTTCACTCCTGTCACTAACTAGGGAGGAAGGACAGCTGGTGTCGGGGGAAGAGAACTCTGAATTTGGGAGTCAGGAGAACTGGTTTTAGGCCCTGGCTGTGTGACTTAATGAACATATTTCCTGAGCACTTCCCAAGCTTACTGTGCTGTGGGAGAGATAGAGTTGAACAACACTCATTTACTACTCTCTCTGACTCTGGAAAACAAGACATTTGCCCGAAATCCCCATCCTACCTTGTGTTGCAGGAAATGGGGAGGGGACTGAACCTGGGATTTCTTTGGAATAGGCACCTCCCTCTCCCCATGCAGGTCAGCACCTGCTCTGCAGTGTCTGGTCTCAGAGAGAGCATGAGAGTTGAGGTGTCTTGCCCAGGGGCAAAAGCCAGTGTATTTAAGACTTGAACCCAGGTCTTCTTGCCTCGGATGTCAGTCAGCTCTTTATCTAGTACGGCCAGAATGCCTCTCTATTGAAGGACATGCCAAATTTAAATACTTCAGGAATGCCAAATTTCATCAGTGGAGGCACTCCTTTTACTCATGTGGATGTCCTGACCCCTGTTTATTCCATGTGAGAGAATATGGCCAGAGGGGTCAAGTTTAGTCCACAAGCATTTATTCTTTGACCTGTGATCTCTGGATTGGGGCTGTAGTGTTCCTTGACGTTTTCATTTTGGAGTCCCTTTTAGGAGGTGACTTGGATTCTCTTTGCACTTTGCCCTAACAGTATTTATTAAGCACTAACGGTTTATTGGGCACTGTGATAAGCACCCGGGATACAAAGAAAGGCAAAAGACATTCTCTTCCCTCAAGGGGCTCACAGTCTACTAGGGGAGACAAAACACAAGCAACTTTGTGCAAACAGGATA